TTCTGAAGTTGAGAAGAGAACCTTCTCTTTTTTTAGTTTTTACACTAGCCTATATATATATAGATCATATATCCATGATCTAATCAACATAAAGCAGCCTTGTCTCCTCATGGGCAGAGCTATGAAAAGTTACTTTTTTGAACTAGAGCTCCCCATGGAAATGTGCCTATCCCAGGAAGAATGCTTGAAGCAGAGATTCATTCAGAGATGCAACAACTACCCTCCCCAACGGCGGGTGATTCTGATATGTCTTCGCATGATGTTTCTTTTAAAACAATCAGACAAGCCAAACCCCAGAGACCTTGTTGACTGACCTTCGCTAATCACCCATTCCCCTTAAGCAAACAATGGCAGTTAATGTGTAATCGGCAAACACAAGAGGATCCCAGAGAAAACCGCCTTCTAGGTGGGTGACATCCCATTATATGAGGAGGGGGACGTAAATCTTGTCTTGTTCTATGCTTGTTTCCTGCCTCTCCTGAGTTGGCAGCCAGCACCGCCGTTTTTCAAAAGAGCTGCCTTCAACCCCATGCCCAGCAAGATGTGGGGAGAAAGGAGCACAAAGCAAGTAATTGATGATTCAAGCGTGGGAACACCGTGATTTCCATTTCTGCTGAGGTGATCATTCTCCAATCAGAGGCGGGAAGACAGATCCCCCACTCCTTTTTTTAATCTTTTTTTTTCTAATCTTCCCAGGGTTGGACTTCAGCCTCTGCTGAATCACAGAGCACAAGGGCAGGAAAGAGAAGAAGCAAGACCCTGTGTGAGAAGTTCTCTTTTGCATGAAGCAAAGAAACAGTGAGTCTAACCGGTGAAGGAAAGGAAGACTTAAAAGAGGTAAGTTTGCATAGATTTGGGAAACAAGATAACTTGTATCTCCACACCATTCACCAGAATTTCTTAAAGTTACTTTTTTGGGGATTGTAACTCTCCAAACCTTTCAGTCAAAGTGGCTTATATGGCCACATGTTCTAGAAGTTACCTTTTCATATTCTGCCAAGAGTCCTATGATTCATAGGGAAATCAGGAAAGCAAAGAATATGGATTTTTTTAATACAAGAAGATTAACTGTGGATCACATGCTATTCCATTGTGTTCACGAGGTACATTGAGGCTCGCATAAAGTTACCTTCCCAAATGTCCAGCTAAGTTAGGACTGGAAATCTGTCTTCCCCAGCGGTCAAAGTACAATAGCTAAACAGTAACCATTGCGGCTCAGACTGGATTCTGACTTTATTTCCAAACATTTAAGCCAGAGGTAGTCAATTGTGGCTTTTTTAGATGTTGCTGGACTCGTTTCTATAGGCTTTTGCCAGCAAAGCCTGTAGCAAGGGATAGTGAGAGCTGCAGTCCAATAATATCTGGACAGCCCCATGTTGTTTTTGTTGTTGTTGTTGTTGTTATGTGCCATTGAGTCTTATGGTCACCACCAACTTATGGTGAGCCCATGAACAAGGAATCTCCAAAATTTCCTGTCCTCAACTGCCCTGCTCAGATCTTGCAAACTCAAGCCAGTCGTTTAGGGAGTCAATCCATCTCATATTTGGGCTTCCTCTTTTCCTGCTGCTTTCAACCTTTCCCAGCATTATTGTCTTTTCCAAAGAATTCTGTCTTCTCATAATATGCTCAAAGTAGGACAGCCTCAGTTTCAACATTTCTGCTTAAGGGACCTCATGTTGGTGTCTTCAATTTAAGCAGTCCATGAAAAAAGAAAGAAAGAAACTATGATGAAAAAAGCCCAGGGAATTAACATGCTTTGCAAATGTAAAAAGGGGCACCTTTAGCAGTTAAGAGTTAAGGGAACAGGTTCATTTCACAGGTGGGATGATAAGGCAAAAGCAGCCAAAGAAAGAGTGACAGTCTTCATGTGCTCTGGAGTGTCTGTATGTGGTTGTCACTGTTATTGTTGCTTTATTAGAATACTGAAGCTCTTCATACAGAGCATAAAATGGTGTCTCGGGGTAGAGCCAGATAGAGTGGTCTGTGGGGAAGAGCCACTGACATTCTGCACAAGAAGTGCTATACACTCAAATTATCTGTGCATGCCACTGCAAATTTGTATCTCAGTACATATCAGTGACTGGAATTATGTATTACTGTATATAGGTTTGGCCACATCACTGCACAGTTCTGCTCTGGAAGTATGTATTATATGGGTTTGGCCACATCACTGCACAGTTCTGCTTGCCAGTTGTAGTGAAGCTCTAAAACTAGCCAGCAGAACTTTGCAAAGATATGGTCAAACTCATATTTTTCAATGGAGAACACTGAATTAGAAAGAAAAGTGATTAGAACCAAACTGACTTCAACAGGGCTTATTCCTCTTTTAACTTGAAATTCTATTTGCAGTGATTAACTCACAGGGTCTCAAGAAATTCTTGGTAGTCCACTGCAAGTTGCCTGTCAATCAAAAGATACACCCAGAGCTTGGAATATTTATTTTGGGACTACAGCTTCCAGACTTCCTGCCCACAAGAGCCACTGGGAGAGGCTGGTAGTGGTAGACCAAAAAAGTAACTTTTCCCACTGGTAGGCATAGCCTTTGTGTGCTCCCTTCCTGAAGTGTGGGCCACCTCCCTACTTCTGACCTCATTCCCATTGCAAGGGATAAAAACCTTCCTTTGTGCTTGCTCGCAGACTAAGGTCACAAGTCAACAATTGAGCTATTTAGACAAAATGGCCAACAACGACTGACAGAAATACTGTGTGGGTTGTCGAAAGGGGAGGAGCATGCTCAAGTGAGGTTCCCCAGTCCTGGTTCACTTCAGGCTAAAGGACCTTTGATCTCCCAGCTATTTTCAACTACAACTCTCATAAACCTTGGCCATTGGCCATCATGGCTGGGGACAACTGGAATGGTTACACAGAAGACCCAGAGGGCCAAACGTTCCCAACTCTTGCACCAAATTGTGGTTTGGCATTCTATCTGAAGGAACCAAGAACAACAACTAAGGATTCTTGGGTTAGCAAAGGAAGCTATCTTATAGCAAGTTAGCCTACGTATAGTCATCCACTATTAGCTGGCTGGATTGCTCAGTGGTTTAGATAGCCAGAGGCTGGGAGTTTGAGTAGAGCCAGCCTATGTGGCCCTGGGCATGCTGCACAGTCCCAGGACACCCTGAGAAGAAGGGAATAGTAAACCATTTCTGAATAGTAAAACCACTCAGAATTCTGAGTATTCTGGGTCACTACAAGTCAGAATCGACTTGACAGCACACGATTCTTATTATTATAAGAATTGTCTAGTCCAGCGGTCCCCAACCTTTTTTGGTCCGCGGACTGGCTGGGGAAGGCGGGGCACCCCCACGCTCATGCACATGCACGAACAAGCGCTTTCTGTGTCTCGAACATGTGTGTGCCCATGAGAGCGCCACACCGCCATTTGTGCATGCACATGAGTGCATGCGCAAATGGCAGCACGGGGCTTGTCTGGGTGTGTACACATTCGTGCGCATGCACCAACGGCGGTGCAGCACTCGCACAAGCGTGCTGGAGCACGAACAAGCGCTTTCTGTGTCTCGAACATGTGTGTGCCCATGAGAGCGCCACACCGCCATTTGTGCATGCACATGAGTGCATGCGCAAATGGCAGCACGGGGCTTGTCTGGGTGTGTACACATTCGTGCGCATGCACCAACGGCGGTGCAGCACTCGCACAAGCGTGCTGGAGCCCGCGCGCAGTGAGTGCATGTGCAAATGGCAGCACAGGGCTTGTCTGGGTGTGTATACATTTGTGCGCATGCACCAACGGCAGTGCAGCACTCGCACAAGCGTGCTGGAGCCCGCGCGCAGGCACAAATGGGCTATGTGGGGGTGAATACATGCAGAGGGTGGGCGGGAGGTCTGTCTCGGTGGCCCGGTCCACCTCAGGCCACGGATTGGCACCAGGCCGCGGACCAGGGGGTTGGGGACCTCTGGTCTAGTCCACAGGTGGGGAAGTCCTGGAAATCCCAATCCAGCCCTCTGCACTTTAGAACACGGCCAAAGTGCCCAAAACAACCCACAACAACCATCAGATCCCGGTCGTGAAAGGCTTCGAGAATACAGGGAATGTGTCTCTTCTTTTATACTCTGCAAAGCCAGTACAGTACCAATCAAAATCAGTTTTAAGGACAGGAAATGTTTTTCAGATTGAGGCCAAGTTCAATGGTAAATAATTTGGTTGAGGAGACAGAGGTGAAAGGGTAGGACCAAAAATGCCAACATGTTTTAGCTTAAAGTTCTCAGTACATGTAAGTAATGCAGAAAACCACTCCAGAAGCTGGAAATTAACAGCTGTCTTGCCGAAGAGGAAGTATCTTAACCTGGGAAAGTGCAGATTCCCCTTCAACAACATCCTAATGTTTTTTTAAATACAGACATGCCAGCAGGAGGACTTGAACTGGGGACCTTCTTCAAATGAAGCAGGTGTTCTAAACCCGAGCCATGGCTTCTCCCCTTTTGGGTTTCTACATGGAATCAGAACAGGTAGGACAACCTTGAACAAAAAGACAGGAAACAAAGTCACCCATATTTAGTGCAGACTCTCTGAACCTGGCACTCCCTCGATTTGTTGGAAGACAGGAGTGAGCAATACTCTTATTAGACCACTGAAATAACAGAAGCTGGCTTTTGACTCCTACAGAAGTCTTCATCAGTTTGGGCATTACAAAGCTAAGGGTCATGCATAATTCAGTTCAACTCCCAGCTCTGTAATGCCTAGCCTGATGAAGACTTCTGTAGGAATCAGAAGCTAACTTATTTTTTGAGATATTTTAATGGTAGAATAAAGGGATCACTCACCTTCATCTTTGGATTGTGTGCAACAACCATACAGCTTTTATTCCTTTTTTCGATCACAATTTCCATCATCTCCAGTCAGCACAGCCATGAAGGTGATGGGAACTGAGATCCAACCACTATACAAAGCAGCCTTTTGGTTAGGGAAATATTGTTTTAGTGGAAGATTAGCTTTAAGTTGGTTGAGTACACTCATGAGAGGTAAGATTGCCATGTATAGTAGCCGGAGGCCCAAGTGACAGAACATATTTTTCAAAAGACTTCTGGATTATAATTTTTGCAGCAAATTTTTAAAACAATGTAAAATGGACTGCACAGAGAGGGGAAATAAAAGGTCTTTTTCTTTGTAACCATAGGACCAGAAAGTTGAGTTCTGTTAAAAAAAATGAAATCCAAGTTTCTTAGGACCTCATATTCCAATCCAAATGAGATACCAGTGCAAGTAAGATTCCATGTGTGTGCTTGTAACAAACTTGTTTACATATGAAATATACACCACCCTTGAGAGAAGAGGTCACAGGAGTTGAAAGAGTGACAAAAATAGTTTTTCTTTTGTGGAACAGTCTTTTTGGGACAAGAGTCAAGACAGGCAGGCACAGACATCTCCCTACTTGCCCAAAGAGGGCAAGAAGAGGAAGTGAAATATTCTGGAAAGATTCTGCCTTTCCCTTCTAAGAAAAGGGGATCAAGAAAGTTCAACAGCAGCACACACAGAGTAGAATCGAAGGACTATTTTTTACATTTACTGTCTTTCCCACCTGTCCTCCTTAAAAGCTCAAAGTGGCAAGCCCATTCTCCCTCCCCATTTTGACATTCACAGAAACATTTATTTATTTATTTGTTTGTTTGTTTGTTTGTTTGTTTGTTTGTTTGGTTGGTTGGTTGGTTGGTTGGTTGGTTGATTGATTGATTGATTGATTGATTGATTGATTGATTGAACTTATAGGCCGCCCATTTAGACATAGTCTACTCTGGGCGGCTCACAAACATGTAACCTTGTGCGGTACATCTGATGGAGCAATAGTGACTGGCCCAAAGTCAACCTGTGAGTCTCACAGCTGAGTAGGGATTTGAACCCAGCTCTCCTCAGTCCTGGTCCAATGCTTTAACCACTTCACCCCAATGACAGGAGGGGACATGGAAGTAAACAAGCCATGCCATTTCACAATGGATAGCATGACATGAAACTACCTCAGTCACAAGCACCCCTAACTAACTATTAAACTCTGTCATCTGTAAAATGGCCTCCCAGCCTCCCTGGTGCTCCTTCCATCCCCTCACAATAAAAACAAGAGACAAGGAAACCCTTCAGCTAGAGCGCCACAGGCTGAATCCCCAAAACCTGGGAAAGAGAAACTAAATACACAAAGAAGCACTGCAGAAACCTGCACATAGCAAGTGAGCAAACCAACTTTACAGATGACTTGAAATGCTCAGTCAACCTCTAATTAAAGCAAAACGGAAACAGATGAGAGATTAGTTACAGCCCCTAGAGGGAGTGTTTACTGCTTCTTGGAAAAGAGGCAACCCAGCATTAACCCCTTGTGGCAAAACCCACAGAGCCACATTAACAAGGGCAGGCTGCTCAGAGCTAAAGGAGCCTCCCAGGTAGCAATATTCCTAGCATAAAGCCATGTGTCTTGTTCCCTCTTGCTTCTCTTGACCCCGATCTATCAGCTTTGATCATCAGAAGGTTCTTTGCCAAAAAATTCTTCTTAACCTTTGTGAACCAAATGCAGTTTCCTACATACAATATTTGGTCAGAACAGTTTGATGCCATTTTAACAGCCACACCCCAATCCTCTGGAACCATGGGACGTATAGTTTGGTAAGCCACCTAGGATTCTGTGCTGTGGTTCAGGGGAAAACACCGGAGTTCTTTAGCACCTTTTCTTTTGTCTATCTCTTCTTCTCATGAGTGTGTATGATTTTAAAAAAAACAGTGGCAGTATTGTTAGTTTGAACTCATCTTAGGCCACCCAGTTGTAGGTCACAATGACACACAGCAGCTGTGGACAAACTGGAGGCTTCTGCAATCTCTTTGCATGGATGGGCATGAGAACCCTGCAGCCCATAAACCGAAATTAGGAGCAAAGCAGTAGCCATGGGTGGTGGAACTAGGGGCAAAACAGTGACTCAAGGAAAAGCTATTGCCTATCATCATTTACTAGGATGATCCACAGACACAAGCACAAAGTTGAGTTCCTAAACATCAAGGATTCAAAGAGCCCTGATTTTCTGGGGGTGGGGTGGTTGTTCTTGTTCAACAATTGGAAATCAGGACCCCTTACTGATCTATTTTAAGTCATCCAACAACCTGAGTGCTCACTGGAAGGAGAGATCCTGAAGCTGAGGCTCCAATACTTTGGCCATCTCATGAGAAGAGAAGACTCCATGGAAAAGACCCTGATGTTAGTAAAGTGTGAAGTCAAGAGGAGAAGGGGACGACAGAGGACAGGAGGGTTGGAAAGTGTCATCGAAGCTACCAACATGAATTTGACCCAACTCCGGGAGGCAGTGGAAGACAGGAGGGCCTGGCGTGCTCTGGTCCATGGGGTCACGAAGAGTCAGACACGACTTAACGACTAAACAACAACAAAAAACGTACAGAAACAAACTCCTCCAATGGCATCCTCCAGATGTTCTGGGCTTCCATTCCTACCAACCCCCGCCCACCATGGCCAATGATCAGAAATATTGGGAGGTATAACCCAAAACATCTGGAGGGCCATCGTGATCTCAGTGTTTGAGTTTGTCACTTCAAATTAGCGAATATGTCTCCCTAGTTCACTCAGATTCCATCATTCATTGTCTTAATTATGCAAGTTTGGGAAACTGCCTTAAAAGGGATGTTCTCTTACCAGAAGTTTAAGAACAGGAATGGATGAAGTGCAGCCTCCCAAATGTCATTGGGCTGAAGCTCCCACCAGGCCTAGCTGGCACAGCCAATGGTGAGGAAAGCTGCAAGGACCACATTTTGCCTCCCCCACCCAAAATAATAAATAAAATTATCATGGGAATTAAACATAGCCACTCAGCATGGATTAGAACAAAAACATTGGCACAAAAGGGGCCTCATCTCAGGATGCTTTGCCCACTTTCTCTGCACCAAAACTGGAACAGTCCCACTAATATATTAATCCCTTACATAAAATGCATTGAAGCTTCTCTGCATAATATTCGGGTTTTCTGGTTGTAAATCTGTTGCTATTGCTGCTGCTGTTATATTTATACCCTGCCTTTCCTCCAAGGTATCTTTTGTGGTTCTTCCCTATTCTACTTTATCCTCACAACTAACTTGTGAGGTAGATCAGGATTGGAGAATGTGACCAGCCCATGGTTGCCTAGCAAGTTTTATGGCCCAATGGTATTTGAACTCATGTTTCCTAGGTCAAAACACCAGCCATGACATCACCTTAGCCCTGTAAATAAGCAAGATTCTTGGCCTTAACATGATAGCAAGACAATTAATCCCTTGGTTCTTGGCCCAGCAGAATTTTAAGGATCTCAAAGACATCACTCTTCTTTTCATTCCAGACAAACAAGACTGTTTGACTCTCTTCCAGAGGAACCCAGCGTGGGCCTCTGGATACAATCAACTTCGTATATCAGGAAGTTTCAGCTCTGGCAAAATGCAAGCCAAAAAATCAAAGCTGTGGAAAGTGGAGGAGAAAAAAGAGATGTGGAAGAGAGAATGCAGTGTTCAAGGTAAAGAATGTGGTGCCAACTTAAATAAAGAAAGGGAGGTGCTGCTACAGGATTGTGCTGTGAAGGGAGGGGTAGCTCCAAATTGAGATAGGAAGTCAAGTTTGTGCACAAATAATGCAGGAGGAGATGACATCCCACAAGCCGGCACAGCAAAACATGTGGCTCTTTAGATATTTCAGACCACAGCTCCCATAATTCTTTCCCACTGGCCCTGCTTGATAAACCTGAGAGAACTGCAGTCCAGACTCATCTGGGAGCCTGCCCTGCCCTGTCACAAACTAACAGTAAAGGTCCCTGGGAAGAATCTTAAGCAAACAGGGCTTAAACATTATTTGATCCCTAAACAAGATGCACAAAACAGTTGTATATCCTTGGAAGTTCCATCAGGAAAAAGTGTTATAGGTTGTAAAGGAAGACTTTCTTTGGTATTGCAAGAGTAATGATCTGTGGTTGGAGGGGGGGATCAAAAAGGTTTTGTTTCTATTGTCTATATTAATGTGATCTGGAGTTTTTCTAGGAGGAAAGAAACTGGTTTTAGAACTGACTGAAGTCTGTGCTATAGCCAGCTTTCCTCACTAGGTGGAGCTGTCAAATATTCAAAATAACAGCCTCCAACATTTCTCACAAGAAACATGACCTTCCCCAACCCTGCTGCCAAATCCACGTGTGTATTTCAAGTGTCTGTTTGTATTAGAAACATGCAAATTGAACATGAACAGTTATTCTTAATTTCAGAAGCTTTCACCTGCATTCAATGAGCAGCTTTCTTATAGTGACCAACGGAACGGGGGGGGGACTGTTTTTTATTCCAGCATGCCTGGGGCTTCCATTTATAGAGTCACAAGCAAGTCAGAGTAGCTGAAGGAGGACTTTTTTAAGATCACCGAGAGAATATGGGTGAGGGTGTTTGTGGAAAATCCACCTTGCACTAGGAGAAATGTTGACTAAGATGAAACAAGTGGGTCAGGCAGATGCCATTTCAAGCAATACTACATAAGGTATATGTGTCACTACATTTTTAAAAGTTGTCAGAAATGTTCCTGTTCTAAAATGCAGTGTTACAGGACATACAGCCCTGCAAAACATGTTGGACTCCAACTCCCATTATCTTTCTCCACTGACTGTACTAGGTCTGATAAGGAGCTGGCAGTTCAATAGACATCTGGAGACCCATTTTTCAGCCTCAAAGTTTGCCATAAAGAATGTCACATAAGAGATTTTAAAAGCTGTTTAATTTTTAGAAAAACATCTTAGATGGGGTACACCATTGTTCCAGGGACAAAGTGCAGCCACTCCTTCCTGCCTTTACGATTCCTCTTATAGAATAAAGGAAGCCTTAAGGAAATAGTTTGGGTTGTTCACTCATTTTTTTTAAGGTGGCGTGGCAACCATTGTGTTTGTGGTATCAATAACTTCTCACCCTCTCTGAGGCTGAAAGGAGTGTGATTTTGGGAAATAGCATGGGGTGGTGGATTTTTGCCTCAAGGAAAAAGCGCAGACCCGAGTGACACATTTTTACTCCTGTCAGCTATCTGGGGACGTTTCTATTGGATGGAAAGAGGTAGGGGAAGGTGAGGATGTGACAGAATTAAGTGTTTTTCAGGGTAGCTCTATTTGAAGAAGAAAACTGAAAGTCTAGGGAGTCAAGTCGTTTTCTAGGGTGGCAAGCAGATCTATAGGGAGGGGAATATTTGTGCCCCAAGCGATCTGGCAGGGGGAGTCAGCTCAATATATAGTTTACCTAGAGGGGAGAAGTGCTATCCACACACTACCATCCAGTGTCTGGTAGGTTACCAGAAACAAATGGGTAGCTTTCTGATAACTGGGGAAAGGAGATACAAGACGGGCGAGGTTGCATTGAGGGTGGTGAGGAAACCATGTTTCCGCCCGGAGCTATTTCTTAATAGGACCATGCCCACCCCTCCACAAATGGAGCCCCCTCTCCTTTCAGTCGGAGGTCAGCAGAAGGAAGACCGCCTGTCTACCCATTCCTGCTCCTTCCCCCCCCCCCCCACTTACCCTTCGAACAGCCCGCGAGACTGCCATTGTCGCTGCCACGCTGGTGATGGTGCTTCTTTCTAATGGTACCGGCGGGGAGGGGGCCTGTGGGAGCCGGGGTAGAAAGGTTCCGCCCCCAACCCGCCTTTAGCCACTCCTCTGTTTACAGTCTTCAGACGGGTTTTCCTTGCAAAAAAGCTTGACTTAAGGCGGGGTTCCACTTCGGCTCGTTTTCGGTAGCAAACGTTGGAAGAGATCGCCTGAGTATGCAAAAAGTACTTTACTAGTTTCAGAATGGAATTAATTCAATACTCGGAAGATTCTGGGGTCATAATACAGGGTTGGTATAGGGATGCAGTGTTGCTGGCTGGAGTATTTTCTACCTAGAAACTGTAGAAAGAGTCACCCTAACTCGTAATCGACTCGAGGGCACAAAATTATTATTATTATTACAGTGATGATTGTCATCTAAGATTATTATCATTATCGTTTAATTTTATTTTTTATAACTAAATAAAAATAAAATAAGTAAACACCCCCCTTTACATTCCAGGGATCATAAAAATTGCCATTTTGCATCATATCAAGTACATACCCTAATCCAGTGCTTTGCTCTCCAAATGTCTCTTCGCCAGTCGCAGAAACTCTCAAAGTAGAGCAAAACATAAATAACTCATCTATTGCAGGAAAAAGAATCACATATGAAGGGTAGTAGACAAGATTGAAGATATTAATGTTTCTGGAACTTAAGGGGGGCAGGAAGTTCCTTGAGTGTGAAAAAACTGTTACTCAAGTGTTTACATTTATTGTTTACTCAGGTACACACCCACTTTAGTCACTCTTGGCAACCCATCCCCTCTATAAAGTTGGGGGTGTCACAGCCAATCACACTCATCTTCCCCACACACCTCCTCTGACACAGCCAATGGTAAGGCTGGCAGTTTCATATACACCCTGCTGTACACACAGATGCATATGCAAAGCTAAGAACGGCACAGGCACATGGTCAATAATAGGGAGCACAAGAACATGTACAAATATCCTCCGCGTCATCAGGGTCTGTGTTATTGATTTAAATGTACAACCTGCACTAAAGGAGATGCAGAACAGTAATTGGGCAAACACACTTGTAAAGTGCTCAGTTAAAAATCACATGAAGAGGAACCAAACGCCTTGAGTAAACACAGCCATGAAAAGGGGTTTTGTTCAACTGAATCCATCTATGGATCAGAGTCTTTAAGAACATTTCAGTGGATTAAAATCATGACTCACTTGTTCAATGAACTCACAGGCTGGCCTTTAGCAAGGCATTACTGAGCCTCAGTTTGCCCCCTATCTGTTAAAAAATGGGTTTGATGGCATGTGGCCATAATTCTGCACAATCTTAAAGTGTGAGTGTGTTTATTTAAAGGTTATTAAGTTCATGTATGCTAAGGCTGTAAGCACTCAACGAAAAGTCATTATTTAAATATTATATGTAGTTGTTTTTCTTGTTGACATTAATGCCTTCTTCTCCTTTTCAGTTCCTTCGTCTCTTTTATTGTAAGAGTGAAAAAGAGAAAGCAATAAATACAAATGTTTAAAAATGCAGAAAAGGTTTCTCAAAAGCAGTTTTATCTTTGAGGTGGACAGACAAGTGTGTTCTAATCTTCTGAGTTTTGTTGGATACAAATTACCGGCATCCTTCCATTTATAATTACTATAGTATAAAATGTCTTGATGGATCCCAACTGCTATAAAGAAGTAACTTTAACATGCATGCATGCACACAATTTGAAAGGCGACAGAGAACGTGTGAGGACCAGTGGATAAAGTATCAGACACCCTCCCTTCCCATCATTGCATCTTAACATTTCATGCACTGCTGGGTACCTCAGTCAGGAAAAAAACCTGGCAATCAGGTTTTTGTAGCATGTCCCTGGGCAATGAAGAGTTCGTTGTTTACAGGTCCACAAAATTTGGTAATGGGCTTCCAACTGACCTGAAAGAAGCAATTAACGAACCACATTTCTGTCTTGCACAGCATCACTGCATGAGTTACTGGCTATTGATCTTATTATTCCCAGTATCACAATGATACAGTGGTGGAAACATCTGTCCAGACAAGAAGCCTCTACAATGCACTTTGGAAAGGCTGCAACAGCCTTTGTATGTGAAAAAGGCACTTCTCTTCAGTCTCATTTCCTTACAGCTCTTCTTTCTGTTTATACAGAAATTCATTTCATGATAGTTGTCACGGCTAGCCTTGGGTGCAGCAATGAGACATTTGAGATCCTTGTTCAGTGCCAAAACATCTGTTCCAGGGTATAAAATGACTGTTCATCTGGGAGAATACACAGCCTATACTGAGATTTTACTCCCTCTAGGCTGGTTGCAATACAGCTATTTATGCAGCGATCCATTGTTGTCTGTGCCAGTAATTTACACCAGAATATATTAATGCAATGGCTGGATAACCCCGTGGTTTGGGTATTTGGCTGCAAAGCCCAGGTTGAGAGTTCAATTCCCCATTGCAGAGTAGAGTCAGCCTGTGTAGCCTTGAACAAGCTGCACAGTCCCAGGATGCCCCCAGCAGAAGAGAATGGTAAACCACTTTTGAGAATTTCTACCAAAAAAACCCTGCAAAAGGTCACCATGTCAGAATTGACAGCACATTATGATATTTCTATTAATGCAAAAGGAAAAAGACAGGGGGAGTCTACCAGGAAAACCCTGCAAAGGGTCGCCATAAGTCAGAATTGACAGCACATTATGATGTTTCCATTAATGCAAAAGGAAAAAGACAGGGGGAGAGAGAAAGAAAGAGGTGGTTCTGAGTAGGACGGCCAATCTTTTAACCCAAGGGTGGTAAATCTCTTTTAGCCCAGGAGGCAAAATCAATTTCAGAGGCATTGTGTACTGTACAGGCAAAGATAAAGAAAAAGGGTGGGATCAAAGATACCTGCATATTTTAACTTTCACTTTTATTGTTAGTAAGAGAGGCCTTCAGGAAAATCCTGTACAAAAGTTGGGAAACCACAAATTATGGGAAGTCACCAAACTGAAGACATAGTTGAACCAGTTCTTGAGCTCTTAAGGAAGATGGCTAGAGGCAAGGCAAGGCAATGGCTTCTAGGCCTCTTATTTCTTGCAGAGAAGAGAGAAGGGCATGCAAGCTGTACCTAATAAATGAAAGTTGCCTATCCTTTCTGGTATCTTGCCATTCAAAGAAGCCTAATCCTCAAACACTGGCAAGACATAATTCTTATCTCCATGCCCCGCAAAGGCTTCAGCTGCCCATTTTTGCAACAAAAGCAACAAAGAGGCTTATGGCATCTTGAAGACTAACAGGATCTATTTAGCATACATTTTTGTGGACCGCAGCTTACTTTACCAGACACTATTTCATCAGATGGAGTGCGGCAAGCTGCAGCCTTCAAAGGCTCATGCCAAATAAAGCCTGTTAGTCTTTAAGGGGCTACAAGACTCTTTCTTAGTTTTGCTGCAACTGACAAACACAGCTGCCACTCCTCAAACCTCTGAAATAGTGCCTAAGAACATAAGAAGAGCCCTGCTGGATCAGGCCAAGGGCCCATCTAGTCCAGCTTCCTGTCTCTCACAATGGCCCCACCAGATGCCTCTGGGAGCACATAACTAGATACCTGTTCTCCTGATATCCCTTCCTTGCATCTGGCATTTTGAAGAACCTTCCTTTTAAGCCTGGAGATTATACATCCCCATCATGGCTTATAACCTGCAATGGATTTTTCCTCCAGAAATCTGTCCAATCCCCTTTTGAAGGCATCTAGGCCAGATGCCATCACCACATCCTGTGGCAAGGAGTTCCACAGACTAACAATATGCTGAGGAAAGAAATATTTTCTTTTGTCATTTCTCACTCTCCAAACACTCAATTTGAGTGGATGTCCTCTGGTTCTGGTATTGCGTGAGAGGGAAAAGAGCTTCCCTTTATCCACTTTATCCATCCCCTGCATAATTTTATACATCTCAATCATGTCCCCCCTCAGGCACCTTTTCTCTAGACTAAAGAGCCCCAAATGCTGTAGCCTTTCCTCATAAGGGAGGTGACCCAGATCAGTCATCATTTTAGTCGCTCTTTTCTGCACATTTTCCAGTTCTGCTATATCTTTTTGAGGTGTGGCGACCAGAACTGTACACAATACTCCAGGTGCAGCCTTACCAGCATTTTGTACAATGCTACTATAACGTTGGCTGTTTTATTTTCAATCCCATTTTTAATTATACCTAGCATGGAATTGGCCTTCTTCACTGCCGCCGACACTGGGTTGACACTTTCATCGAGCTGTCCACCAGCACACCAAGATATCTTTCCTGATCTTTCAGGGACAGCTCAGAACCCGTTAACTGATAAATAAAGTTTTGATTTTTTGCCTCAATGCGTGTTACTTTACATGTTCTTATATTGAAAAACATTTGCCATTTTGCCGCCCATTCTCCCAGTTTGGAGAGATCCTTCTGGAGCTCTTCACAATCCCTTCTGGTCTTTACCACCTGGAAAAGTTTTGTGTCATCTGCAAACTTGGCCACCTCACGACTTATCCCCGTCTCCAGGTCATTGATGAATAGGTTGAAAAGCACTGGTCCCAAGACAAGATCCCTGTAGAACACTACTCTTCACCTCTCTCCATTATGAAAATTGCCCTCAGTAGTGGGTCAGTTCATCCCTACAACTGGTCATTTCTAAAATGAGTGCCCTTTATCAATGACTAACAACAATGTCCCCCACCTACAATTTGAACAGTATTTGAAGTCTGGGAGTAACAGGGAGAGCTTGGAAAAAAATTGCCTTGTTTTGGACTACACCTCCAAGCTCTCCTTGTTACTCCCAGACTTCAAATCCTTTTCAAATTGTAGGTGGGGGACATTGTCCGAGACTAGAACTTGGAGGAAGGACTCAAAAGTGAACTGTAAAAGAGAGAGGAAGCAGAGAAGCCCAACTTCTGCCTAAGGGGTTAGAGTGAGTTCTAAGGCAAAGACATTTTAGGCCAGGATCGCGCAGTGCCTCAGAACACTTTCCCAGTCTGGGGTTTCCAGATCTTGTTGGACTACAACTCCCCAGGGAGCATGATAAGGAACAATGGGTATTAAGAGTCCAAAAATATATTTGCACTTAAAGCACAAGGAACAGCTCAGATAACCTGTCACTAGGTCCACGGAGGCCTGGATTTCACTACCTAGAGAGTTTGGGCTAACCCACTTCATGGGTGTTGCAAAGATAAAAGTGGGAGAATATGTAGTATAGGCCAACGTAAGCTTTTTAGAGACAGGATTGGAGTAATGTGTAATTAATAATAATATTTTGGTGGGAGGTAACTGCATTGCAACCAAACAAGTTGTGGCAAATTTAAGGCACCCTTTTTCTACCTACTTCCTAGTTACCCTGTCAGGAGATTTAGGATTACAATAGCCACTAATCAAAAGGTGAAAGTTAAACATTTGCTATTGACAAAGCTTTTTTAATGCTTACCTTCAAGGTCTAGTTCCCCTTGATCACAGCTGTGTGAAAAACAGGTCTGTATTTTATCCAAGTCTTAACTGGAGATAGCTAAGCTACAGAACCTGTTTTTAGTGTCAAGGCCGGGAAACTAAAACAATATTAGAGACAAGAGTTGCCAGTTTTTTTTCTTCACAAGGTCCCTGTGCCTTTACCTCAGTGGGATGCAGGAACTGGGGTGTCGTCTCTATCTTCAAAAACGACGAGAAGGAACGTGGGAACTACAGACTGGTGAGCCTGACATCAATCCCAGGAAAATGCGGGAGCAGATTATACAGCAGTCACTGTGAAAGCACCATGAAAACACCTTATAACTACTAGAAGCCAACATGTATTTGTCATGAACAAATCATGCTAGACTGATCTTATCTCATTTTTAAAAATCTGGTAGCCTGTGTGGTACACCATGGGAATGCTGTAGATGTAATATATTTTGCCTTCAGCAAAGCCTTTGACAAAGTGCTCCTTGATGCTTTGATTAGCAAACTAAAAACTAGGTGTGGGCTGGATAGAACAACTGTCAGGTAGATAAAACAGTTGGTGACAGATTTGTACTCAAAAAGTGATTATCAATGGGTCCTTCTCAAACTGAGAGAAGATAAGTGGAGTGCCTCAAGGCTCAGTCCTGGGCCTCGTGCTCTTGGACATATTTATTAATTACTTGGATGACAGGTGCAGGGAATGCTTATCAAATTTCTGGATGACACAAAATTGGGTGGAACAGCTAATACCTTGGAGGACGGGAACAAAACTGAAAAATATATTGATTTGAGCACTGGCCTGAAAACAACAGAATTTGAAAAATATATTGATAGATTTGAGCACTGGCTTGAAAACAACAGAATGAAATTTAGCAGGGATGAGTGCAAACTTCTACACATAGGGGGGGAAAAACAATGCAGTTTTACAAGATGTGGGATACCTGGCTCAGAAATACTACAAGTGAGAAGGATACTACAAACTGGAATATGTATCACTTTTCCCTCCACAGTAATGGAAAGACTAGAAAAGATTCACCTGTTGCCCTTCTGCCTGGTATATTACAGTGGGTTTGAGGAACATGCGGTCATCCAGCTGTCATGGGGCTCAATGTCCTTTCAGTCCCACTGGCTTTGACAATAATGAAGACAACATGACTAGCAGTTCATTGAGATCAGGAAGGCCACTACCAAACAATTTATTTATTTTTAATAACATAGACACAAGAAAAGAAACATTCACCTGCTAGCTTTCAGCTGCCTAAAGAACTGTGACAGGAATGCAACAGAGCCCTGAGGTAAAACACTCCCTTAATCTCTGTGACATATCTCAGTTTCTTCATTTCAAGGGGCCTGACAACGCTTTATTGTTTGGGCTGCAACAAAATGGTACTGGACAAAAAATTCCAATTTTCTGTCAACCATAAAGCAGGAATCTTCACAGATATAAGGCAAGAGCTGGGAGCTATAGGTCAGCAGATCGACCCGACTCAGTGGAAACTTGAAATTATTCTCTTCAGGGTGGTGATGGAGAACAAATGGTCAAGAGACATCCCACAATCCGCCCAATACATTTTTTTTATTATTGTTATCATTTGTAACAGATTAGGGTTATCACAGCCAGCCATTTCGGCAGCCGTCTGGAAAGACAGACATCAACCCTGAAGTTTTCACTGCCTTTGTAAGCACCTGGCCAATTCCCACTAGCCTTTAACACCTTCAACACCTTTGGCAGCATCTCGATTGTTCTTCTTCCCATAGCCAAGCTCAGCTCCTCCACTGATCACAAGGTCAGCCCCGGTGCAAAAGGTGGCGTCACAAGCCATGAACAAGACAGCCAGTGCGATCTCTTCTGGGGTCCCCAACCGTCCCAGAGGCTACGAATGCAATAAAAAGAGAGAGAAAGAATTGAAGACTCGATCTGCGTCATACACACCACTTTAATGTACTCAATTACTCGCAAGAGTCCTGGTTTTTAATTAAAAGAAGAAATGGCCAATCTTAAAACAGAGCTAGCCTCTGAAGGAAAATAAGTGGGGCCTCTAGATATTTAAGATTACAATTCCCAGAATTGTTTTATCACTGGCCAGGTTAACTGAGCCTTCTAGGAGTTGGAGTCTAAAATAGCTGAGAAACAAAAGCCTCTCTACATTTTGATTAAAGTTTAATTTAAACACCAATACAAGTTTCTAGCTCTTGAGCTTATGAGAGCTCAGAACCGAGGAGGACTGGCTACAAAGGATTTCCAGTAGTTAGGAAAGCTTCACATGAGTTATACAAAATACTTTCATTTGGTCCATGATTAAACATAAGAGTATATGTAAAAATGGCTGGTATCCCCAAATCTGATTCAATCTGAATGCTAAATAAAGACTGTAGTATCAAATAGGTTTTTGATGCAGACCATGGCAATATTTGAGGTGGTGGTGTAAATGCAGCCCTCCTTGTCCAACCCCGCCATTTCCATTTTGCCACAACACTTACCTGAGCATCAATGCCTTCCTGGATCTTTGCCTGTGGATCATCTGCCTCGCTTGCCAGCTTCTGCCACAAGGGAGTCCAGATATTACCAGGTGAAATACTGGAATTCAAATTGTTGGGATATTTTTAATAGAAAGGGGACATCAGGAAAGAGCAAGCGGATCTATTCAGTGGCATAACATGGCTTGCCAACATCTGGGGCAAGTATTGCGTCCCCTCAATCTTTTACCTGCACCCCATCCTCTTCCCTTGGTTCCCAATAGGAGTGTCCCCAAGGCACCGTCCTCCACCACCACCACCATCATCACCCCTCCTTTCCCTATCTAACCCTCACCTACCATGCACTTGGTTCAGCCAGAGCGTGGAAAGGGGCCCGCTTCTATGCTGCCATCGCTGCTTCCTGCAGCACCTGCATAGCCACGCTCTGCTCCTGTCAGCAGCCCAGCAGAAAGATGCTGCCAGGAAGGGTTAGTGCCACCAGCAGCCCAACGACAGCCAGGAAGAGCACAGCGGTGCTTGGACCCTCAACAAACACCCCCCCAAGCTTCACAACTGGATCTATTCACATATAGTAACTTTTGATCCTTTGGACATTATCATGGGTTATGATGGCTGTGGCGTCTGGGAGGTGAAGTCCAAAATACATGACAAGCCAAAATCTTCACCCCCAAAGTCTGCTGGCCTTTTGCGATGCCTCTTCCCAATAGTAAAACATACTTCAGCGTGCCTGAACTGTTGCAGTGACCCCTGCATTGGCCTACCTTTAAAAGAGGCTTCGAAAATTCCGTTGGTCCAGAATGTGGCAACTAAGTGCTTAACTAGAGGGGCGTGTGCGTGGTTTCCTAGTTCAAGCAACTGCATAACTAGAAATTAGGTTGTAGACCCAACTAAAAGTGCTGCTGGTGATATCTAAATTTTTTCCAGGACCATGTTCTTCCACACAAAGCTGCACACTCTAGCTGCCTAGAGTGGTCTTAACCGACCAGATAGGTGGGATATAAATAAAATAAATACAGTAAATAAAATAAATAGAGGATGTTTTTCTTGTTCAAAGACATCCAAAGCACCCACGCTTTAAATCAAATTCACTTTGATCATAAGGAACTATAAGAGTTATAATCTTGGGGGGGGGGGGAATTCCGGAGGCCTAAATGTTCCCAGTTTGGGGAAAGCTGGTTTAGTGTAACCCCCTTGCCTCAACTTTGGAGATGTCCCAGAGACACGGGGCCAGTGTTTGTACCACTGTTAGCCCTCCCAGGAGTACCTCTGTTGGATTAAATTAGATCCAAGCTTCTGGGAGTTGCAGTCCATGTCTACTCAGAATTCAGTCCCACAATAGGATTTACTTCTGGATAAGCAAGTATAAGATTGCAACCTTAATTAAATACAAATGAGCTGAATAACCTACAATGTTCTTATTTTATTTTTTCTGGAGTCCTGAAATGTCAGCTGACCCCAAAGATGCAGTCTATGAGGATGGTACTGTTTATCACACAGTATTAATTGCATCAGCAACATTACCTGTTGACTCGGACTCCACGTTTGCTCTCATCGAGGGCCATCGCTTTTGTCATGGCAGTTACAGCACCCTGCAAGTTGTAGGAAGTTGTAAACAGGAGTAACTAAAAGGCCATTAAAATGACAACGTTCAGGCTCCCCTTTTGCTCTGGGGCATAACTGGCTCCAGGATTCTGGGAGCAGCAATATAAAAAGCTGACTCTTGCCACCTCTGGTTTGTGGTACAGAAAATGGGACAGTCCTCTCACAGAAAACAAGTGTGATACCCGTACTCCGGGTTGAGAGGTGATGTTGGGAGTGCCGTCTCTCCCTAAGGCCACTGTGGTCACGCAAACAGCTCCCCTGCCCTTCCCACCACGGATGCTTCATCAAGCAGTGGACACCCTAGATCTAACCCGGGACATGCGAGGGTTAACGGTAACTACCCAGACTCCTCAAGCTTGGGCGGGAAAGTGGAGGAGAGATCCAGAAGAAGGGGCTGTGGGGGAAGTCAGTCAGGAGAGAGAGAGGGAAGAAGGTGGATGGGAATGGGTCTCCATCCAAGACCCTTGGACCGGCAAGTGGGAATCGGGATGTCTAACTAAAAGAGAGGTGGAGGAAAGGAGGAGGCGAGAAATGTCAGTACGCCCCTCCTATTGGGGAGAAAGAGAGACACGAGAGTGGAGACGCAAGTTAGTGGAAGAGAAGAGGAAGATAGAAAGGGAAAGGGAAGAAAAGAGACAATGGCATATAGAAGAACTCAGGAAACTGGGTGGCTACCAGGACCCTGGGGTTACACCGAGGGAGAGAACCACATACCCTGGGAATCTGCAGGGTATGAAGAGACAACCCCGTTATTGATGAAAGATACAGATGACCTCGAACCCGAAGAACCCTCACAGGTTCAGGCCGGTCCATGGGCGTTTGTTGAAGATGGTGCAACCCTGAGAGAACCGTTGTTTCCTCAGGAGAAGTTTGATCCCA